AACAAAAGCGGGGTCGACTGTATTACATTTAATTTTTTTAAAAAAAACTGGTGGGGGGGTCTATCTGGTGCTTCTTCTTATAAATATTATATGTCCGTACGTCTGTTTGTTTATCTGTTGTTGTTGTTGTTGTTGTTGTTGTTATTGTTGTTGTTTTGTTTCTAATGTGGATGTCTCACACCCACAACTGACACAATTTAGATAATTCAGAAGGCATGTTTCGAACCTGCCTGTCAAGGCCAGAGAAGAAAAAATAGTCCCCACGGAAAGGTATCTGTGCGTCTCAGAGATAGAGTACCCATGAGGAACAAGTCTTCCTTTGCCCCCCCCCCCATCCCAAACCAAGCATAAGCAGTCTACCTGTCAAGTTCATGTTGCATTTTACGTCCATCTCCGACATCAACGAACAGAGGGTGTGGATTTTACTCACAATTGCACAAAACAATCTTTATTTATGTAGGCATTTTACTTTGCCATCAGCACACTTTATAGCTCATTTATGAAGGAGGTTTTGACTCTACCTTCCAGGGCCAATCTGGGATGAGAGTCATAAAAAGTTCCAGTAGAAAGACCGAGAACATTCTAAATAAAGTTCTCCCAACACGTGAATCTCAAGTTTTCTGCGTGTTACACCGGAGCAATCCATGCGCACCAAATTTCAAAATTATCCACACCATAATCCAGCATGATACCACCTGAGCCAACGGAAAGTCCTCTCTCCAACCGCCCGCCCAAAATTCCAACAACCAAATTAGCAGAGGAACGAAATTCTGGGGACAGCCCCATGCCATTTCTCGGGTGTCACCGGGAAATCCCAATTTTTTAAATATAAGAAAAAACTTTTTACTTTTACTGTTTTCTCGATTCAGTCCATAAGACGAAGCAAATGAGTCGGAGATGTGTCTAAATCTGTCTGCCCCATTAGCCAAATTATTGAGGAACGTCGTCTCAGACTTTGCTATTCGATATTTCGCCTGTCCTCAAAGTGTCAGGGCTGGGGTGACGCAACAAAGGTAATGATATGTTCTAACAACTGGTGTACCCTGATTGGCACACAGGTCAGTCTTAGGCTTTTTTTTAACGGGCTTTGTGTTTTTAAAAAAAAAGGAAAAAATGAGGGGTGAAAGGTGATGAAAAACTTGGATTGATGGATTAGAACAGGCGTAGGAGCTAAATACCATAATCTATGATCGGGTTTGAGGGAGAGGGGGGAGAGAGGGAAGAGTAAGGAGGAGGAGGGGGTGGGTGTGCATACTAATACTAATAGATCTGTTTACTCCGTATGTGTGCGTTTCTCTCTTTCTACTAGTTAGTTTTTCCTATTCATCTATCAATTTGCTACATATTTCTTTGTCTACCTATAATTCATCTACGACATCAAGTTGATCTACCATTCCCCGTCCTACCTTACCTTACCGAACTACCCGATTATATGTCTGTCTAAATGTTTGTCACACACGCACACACTCACTCGATATCTC